AGTGACCCGCCTCTTTCCCCAGGTCCTCCCCACCCCTCGAGCCACCTCTCAATGTGACATGAATCTATAAACCCATAAATGGACCATCCAGGATCACACGAGGATTCAGCAGCACATACCTGGCGGCACCAGTTAAAATTTTTGCCTGTCAAAAATCTTTCCTCCTGCCTGACTTTTCTGATCTTGGTATTTCTCTGTCTTTGCAAAGGAGCTGTAGCTTTTTGCAGCTGCTTCAGGGAATGTAATTCTTCTCTTAGCCAGGTGTGGCAGCTGGCAGCTCTAGTTGCTCCAGTAAATCATTGAATCAGCCTAGCTTTGGGGAAAAGAGCCCTGGGTTCTTCTGACCTCAGTACAATGCATTGCATGCCTTCAAATGAGACATCTATGGTCACTCAGGCGTTTTTCTCATCTGCAAAACACAATATCTAAGCTCTTCCCAACACTAAAACTTCATAATCTGTCATCTTGTGTTCCTCCAATCAAAACATCTGGAGACAAGTCAGCAAACTGACTGTGAGAGGAAGCTTCCCAGGTGGCTCCCCGGCAGCCACCTCCTGATATAATTATGCCGTGGGTAATCTCCTCCACTTTGATAAAAGCATAGCCTAGCAACCTGCAACTTTGATGAGAAGGCAACAGCTTCACAATCAGATGCAATTCTGCAGTTTATCTGAGGATGTCAGCCACCTGGCACAGTCCCAGTGAGACCTGCACTCCAGAGTCAGTCAAAGCCTGGGCATTCCCCCGACCACTGTCTTCAAATCCAGGGATTTTTTGCTACCCCTTCATGTTGAGTAATTCCACTAGACAACTCACAGAGCTCAGGAAAGTACAATATTTACAATTGCAGGTTTATTATTAAAAAATACTAACCAAGATCCACCTAATAAAGACAGGGCAAGGGTGAGGTCAGTAAAGAGCCCTATGCAGAGTTTCAAAGTCTTTTCTCTGTAGGATCAGGACACATCTCCTTCCTGCCACATCAATAAGCCGGGAAGAGTACCTAACTCTTAGCACTTGGTCCTCTAGGCGCAACTAGAGTCACTGGTCATGCAATGTAACTGCGTTCAGTCTCCAAATCCATCCACTCCTTGGTGGTCGAGTTGAAAGTTCCAGCCCTCTAAATCCATAGGGGATCTTTCTAGCACAGCAATCCCTATCCCAAGTGCTCTGAGTCATCCTATTAGCATAAACTCAGTTGCAGGTGAGGGCTTCTCTGGAGTAAAAAAGAAATTGTAGAACTGAGGAAGTTCCAAGGACTTAGGGGTGATCTCTCAGGTAGCAGGAGCAAAGACCAGACCAATTCTTTGTAACGTGATATTATGTTACCAAAGACTGATTTAGGTGGTGTATCAATCACTTTCTAGTAACTGGGTCAAAATCTCTGACACCCATGACTTAAGGAGGAGAGGTTTGTTTGGCTCAGTTTCAGAAAGTGCAAGGCAGAAACAGTACCATGGAAAGGCGTGGCGGAGGGAAGCTGCTCACATCATGGTGGCTAGGAGACAGAAAGGAAGAAAGGAGAGCCGGAGACAGGAATTACTCTTTCCGGGCAAACACCACCAACCTCCTCCAGCCAGGCCCACCTCCTAAGCACATTCATCTGTGAATGAGCCAGCAGAACAATCCATAGATGAATACAGACTCCATGGTTCAGTCACCCCCTGAAGCTCCCCTATGAACACCTGAGATTCTTTGGAGGGCACAGAGCTAGCAGAGTACCTCTCTTACTGGTGTCGATAAAGCCAATGAAGGTACTGAAGGAGGCTTCAGTTAACAAGTGACACAAATGGGACTGCCATGACCACGCAGCTCTAGAGATTCTTGGTATGAAGGACCCCGAGGGAATGAGAAAATAAAGAAGGCAAAAAGCTGGGGTCAGGTGGAGCCCTTACTCTCCCTATGGGAGAGAAGAAACTGTTCAACCACTCCGGCACTTTTATTTATACCCTCCAAGTAAGAATGTCAATTTCAACCCTGCTGCCTAGCAACTTGCTTGCCTGGCTCACTGGGACTCCTGCCTTGGAGCTGGAACAGCTTGTTTATGTGGCATGTTTGGGGCTCTCTGTGTTTTCAGGGCTGGCCTTGCTTTAGTCCTACACATGTGATCGATCTCCAGCTTCAGTGGCTGAAACCACATGCATTTGGAAGTGGGTCCTTCCCAGGCAACCCCCTGGGGAAGGCCTTTGACTTTGGCCTTGAGAGAAACACTGAAGTGGAGGACCCAGCTGAGCACCTCACTGCTCCTGACTTGTAGTAATGTGAAATCATGAACACGTTTTAGTCTGCTAAATTTTGAAGTTATAGAGCGACGACATAACTAACTAATGATACTGTGACTGAAACAAGTGATGTCCTGAATGTAGAGAACCTGGAAAAGTAACGACTGAGTCTCTTGTGATACAGTGAGCTGGATCCATTAGGCAGAAAGCCCCTAGGAATCTGACCTCCTGTCTTAGAAGCATTTGGCAATAAATCCTAATAACTAACAACATTCATCTTAAACTATCGGCCAGACCAGGTTCTAAGTACTCTCTCGATGTTACCTCATTTAGTTCTCACAATAATCCTGTCAGGGAATTGTGTTTGTTATTCCCATTATAGATAAGGAAACAGAGACAGGGAAAGAGAAGGGGAAGAGAGGACGGGGAGGGGTGGGGACAAGGCATAAAAAGGATTAAGAGGTGTCGGGTCCCATGCACCGACTCCCCACAATGAACATGATCATTATGTGCTGCAAGCACAGATTAACAAAAATAAATTTAAAAAAAAGAAAATTGCGGTCAGGGATATAGTTCAGTAGCATAGCACCTGCCTGGCAAGCACAAGGTCGTGAGTTCAATCCTCAGTACCAAAAAAAAAAAAAGAAGAGAAAAGAAAAAGGAAGGAAGGAAGGAAGGAAGGAAGGAAGGAAGGAAAGAAGGAAGGAAAGAAGGGAGGGAGGGACAAAACTGAGGCACAGGAAAATTCATTGGTTAGCCTTAGATCAAACAAGAAACTAATAAAGGGAATTCCACAGAGACCAGAACTCAGCATCAGCACACGCACGCACCACAGCACACACACACCCTTCAATAAAAGCTCAATCTACAGACAGGAGAGTCTCCTGTTCATTGAGCACCTCGTACCAAAGAAAGCTGCTCCCCCTCAGGTTTAATTACTACTTATTTGTATGTTATTATTTACAAAGACAGGGCGTCTTCCCAAAATTAAACTGCAATAACCCACAGTCAAAATAAAGTGAAGGAGCAGCTGGGGGTGAACATACAGAGAGGGCAAGGAGGGACAGAAGAAGCTAAGACCACAAAGACCACAGCAAAGTTATTCATGGTGCAGGCACCCCCATCCAGCACTGACGAGGCTCAGTGGAAAAGTGGCCCGAACACCCAGCCTCTCTCTCTCTTTTCCTCTTTTCTCTTTTCATTCTCGATATTTTTAAAACCCCTTGTCCTCCTTGTTACCTGCTCCTTGGTGTATGAATATGGATGAGAAAGCTATGATGCTGGGGCTGAAAATGAAGACCGAGCGGGGGCTGCAGGGGAACCATGGAGGAGCAGGCCCTGTCTAGGTGACAGCTTGCTCCTCGGCTGAGTACAGTGCCAGGGACACACTGGCGCTCAGGCACCTGCCCAAACCTCTCCTGCCCCTTTGCTGTGACCTCCAGCACCACCCTCCCCAGCCCAGCCAGGCTTGTCCTGAGGTCCCCAGCTGGCAAAGCTTGTTACTCCCCAGACCCCTACAGCCTCCTAAATGGAGCTATTTTGAGATCACGGAAGAGCTATTAAAAATAATACCAGGAAGCCAAGGGACGAAGAACAAGGCATGAGTAATTGCTTTGGTCTATGATGCTCAGACATTTGGCATCCATAAAAGGCCCAGCCTTCAAGGTGGGGCATGGCTGGCTGCTCCCTGCCTGCCCTTAGCAGCTGGCCGTGGGCCTTTGAGTGGAAACTATCAGAGCCACAGGGCTTCCCCGCGGACAGCACTGTCCTGACCCTGAGAGGGACTTCTCAGAACCTTCGCTACACTAGGGACATTGAGTCACAGCATAACGTTATAATATCATTTAGTTTGGGGGAGAAAAGAAAAATGTCTATTTTCACTGTAAAGAACTTCTCAGAGTAATTTATTTGTTTTGTTTTGTTTTGGTATCAGAGATTGTCTCACAACCTCGTGTTTGCCAGGCAGGCATGCCGCTGAACTAAATTTTGATCACCGTTTGATGATTGTTGCCTAAATCATTTTGTTGGAATACATACTTTGTAAGACTCAGTGTTTTAACTGTACAGTGCATTGTTTCTGGCCTATTCACAAGCGTCTTGACTGTCCAATTACAGTCTGATTACTCCCAAAAGCCACCCTGCATCCATTAGCAGCCTCTCCTTTTCACTACTCCTGGACATCTCAATGCGATCACGCAGAGTGCAGTCCTTTGCGCTTGCCCTCTTTGGCTTAATATATTTCCAAGGCTGATGCATGCTGTTTTTTTGTTTTGTTTTTTTTTTTTTGTCTTTTTTCATTTTTATCGGTACCAGGGATCGAACTCACGACCGCCTGCTAGCAAGGCAGGTGCTTATGCCACTGAGCTAAATTCCCAGCCCCCGCATGCTGTTTTTAATCAATATTTTATTCTTTGTATTTGCCTAAGTCAGCTATTGTTATGATTCGAAATGGATACTCCACACCGGTAGCATTTATTAGGCAACATTATTTTACGGCTCTGTAAGAAGCTGCGGCAGTGGAGTTCACTTCGACGGACAGGCTCCCAGTCCTCTAGCAGCTTGCCATGGGAGGTGACGACCACCTTTCTCGCGGTTTCTACTATTCGCCCTCTGGTCACCTGGAACCTGCAGCCCGCAAATCCTTCCACCCCGCCCCGGAGGCCCCGCCCACCGACCCCTACCGCACTCGTGGCCCAGAGACCCCGCCCCCCCCGGCCGGGCCCCTGCCCAGCGCCCCTCCCAGATGGCGCAGGGGGCGGAAGTGACGCACAGGAAGTGCCCAGGTCCCTTCACGGCGGGGTAAGGGATCAAGCTCTCAAGATGGCGGCGGCATCGGAGGAGCGGATGACTGAGGAGGGAGGCGGCAGCCACGGTGACGGCAGCTCCTCTTCGGCTGCCGGCTCTGCCCAGCGACAGCCTCCGCCTCTCCCTGCCCAGCCCCCGCAGCCGGGGTCCCAGGCGCCCCCAGCGCCGGCGCTGGTTCCGGACCAGCTGCCTCAGAACAACACGCTGGTGGCGCTGCCCATCGTAGCCATCGAGAACATCCTCAGCTTTATGTCCTACGACGAAATTAGTCAGCTGCGCCTGGTAAGGCCCCGGGGACCCCGCCGCCCCCTGTCCGGCCACGGTCTGGGTGGCGGCGCGGTCGCGCGCCCGGAGAGTTGGGTCGGCCGAGCCGGCCCGGGTCGCGTCCCGGGGCCCTGGCCCGACCCGCGCCTTGAGGACGGCGACCCGGCCGGCCCGGTGCCACCTGGACAAGGTCCGCGCCCGGCGACCCCGGGTGCAGCGAGGAGGAGCCCCGGCAGGCAGGCTGTTTTTCTGTTTCCTCGCTACGGTCATTTAACCGGTGCTCTCCGCCCACCTGCCGGCGCTGCTGTTTGTTTATGCCTGGCGACCGCTGCCATGCGGTCCGAAATGTTTTAGAAAATAATATGCCAGTGGAATTCTACTTCATCCCAGGAACTGTGGACTGCAGGCTTTGATGACTTAGCTCAGTCCGGTATTTTGCTTCCCTTGAGTGAGTTTATCTTAGTGTGTGGTGAGAAGATTGAAGGAGGGGACGTTCGGGAGGGATTCAAGCCCGTTCCACATAGAAGCTGCGTCTGCCCGAGGTTGTTTTTGAGAGTACAAAGACGTATTTCGGATCCTGCTATGTGGCATTTTCTTATTAATCCCTGTGCCATATTTCAGGCCTAAACCTCCAATTTAAAATAGATTATAATTGCGTTTCTAAAGGAAGTACTTCTAAAAGAAAGCTTATAAATATTAATCAGAATAGAGGGCCAGTTTGTTTCTAGTCAGTACAGCCGTTCAACCATGCCTTTCTTCAGGATGGAAATTAGAGTTGACAGTAAATATTCAAAACTGATTGCCCCTAATTTTCAAAATCTTTTATCCTAGAACTTTGTATATTTTAAATATTCCTTCCAATTTTTGTAAAAAATGATGTTTGATTTAAAATTCAAGCTATGATTGCATGGTGTCTGGAAACTGGGCAAAACATTTCATTGAATTGAGCCATTCAGCCAGACAATGGCTTTGTAAAGCTTGGAATAGTCACAGTTGTTTTATGAGTGCTGAGGAAAACTACTTTATGTTTGCTAGTCATTAAAGCCAAATCATTCTTAAGGGGAGAAAAGTTAAAACACATCCCATAATTTATAAATGAATCGTATCTCTTTCAACTGAGGTGTTCAGCTGCACATTTCATTTTTAAGCACTTTATCCACTCTGGCCCCTTGAAGTGTGTGTTTATAATACCAAGCATAGTTATTAAAGAGCGCGGATGATACCGGCTCTTACCCACATCCCCAGGAAAAAAAGATTCTGCAGCGTCTTATATCTGGAAATACAGTGGGAGATTTAGGTTTTTTGTTTCATTTTTCTCGTGTGTAATGAGGATATCTTCAGTTACTCCTTTATTTAAAGTTACTGAATAATTCTTAAGTAGATTAAATGAATAATCCTTTATGAGAAAGAATGTAGAAGTGTTTGGTTTTGGATTCATTGCTTTGGTTCAGAAGGTGCAATTCAGGTAACAAAAAAGAAAGATGTTTTTTGCCACTAGGTGTCACCATTAATTTAATTGTGATCTTTTTGTGTGTTGGCAGTCCAGACAGAGCTAGATTGGGTGCGTTTTCTACACACTTTTAAGTCTCCATTTATAGCTAAAGAATTGTTTACTGAATGTCAAGGAACTTAAAAGTGTATATGTTAGTATATGATATATAACAGTTTCTTTCTGGTTCCTGGGTCTTTGTTTTTTGGTTTGGGGTGGTTTTTTTTTTTGTAGACTAAAGGCTGGATGTGCCTTAATATTATATTAAGAATAATGTTAAGAATAGAATTAGTTTTCATAAAGCTAATTGTCATCTGTTTGGTGGCCGATGAACTCATTTATTCATTATTTGGGTGTTTTTGTTCCTTCCCAGTTAACTTAATTATCCTATTAATACCTGAATCATAGCTTGTATTAAGCATATAACTTAAGACAAGTACATAATCTATGTACTTAGTGTAGTGTATTTTCTTTAAAATACATACTCTAAGATGAAATTGCTACAGTAACATTTTTCACTTATTTGTAAAGGTTTATAATAGATTTTGTTTCTTGTTACTGTAAATAATTGAAGTTTGATGCTCAAGTCCATTGGTTTCCAAAGGACTGTAAATGCCTTATTAAATTGGATCTTCATCATTAAATATTAACTCCAAAAAATGCACTCAGGGCCTGGAAATTCTGGTTAAAGATAATTAATATTTAATTCCTGCAGTGTATTTAAAGTTATTTCACTAAATACAACTTTAAAAACAATAAATCGTGTACTTTGATTTGCTTAACCACAAAAATAAATATGTGCTGATACACCTTTAGTGCCCACCCTGCAATAGGTAAGTGAGAGACTTTGAGATAAGTGGCAAAGAGTAAGCAATGAGGTCCTGGCCCAAAGGAGCAGATCAGAGCTCTTTGAACCTGTGACTTTGACATATGAGCACAGTGTTTTTACTACTGAAAAGTAAGTCCAGGAGGCTGTTAAAAGATGCTTTAGAGACAGACACTGTCAGAGCCTTTCCCTGATGGTTGGAGTGGATCTCAATACGGTGGTGATTCAGAACCTGAATTTTACTATAGTTTGAATAGAGATTTCTTATTTGCTATCTGAAATATATTCTGGTCAGTGACAAAATACATTCCCAAGATACTTCTCTAGAGCACTCTAGATCGTTATATCTGCTACCTGTTTATAGCTTACGTTTCTTGGTTACAAAGTAAGTTGGTTGGAAATACAAAGAAAGCATTACTTTTAAGTAAACACTGTGTTTCATATCTCTAACCATATATGAGGAATTCTCAAACTTTTTACTCAGGATAACTGTACATGTCTTTAAAATTACTTAAGATTCTAAGACTTTAACTCAGAAAATTCTAGAAACGAGTACGCAGCACATGTTCCATCAGCTGTCAGAGCAATAATATCATCACATTGTTGTCATATGCCTCCAGATTCCGCTGGATTCTTGGGAAAGAACAAGTGAAAAGGTCAAGTAACTCCTTAGTATTTGGAGACTAATTTGGCCTTGCATATTTCCTACAAGGGTTTTTGGGGTCCCTGCAGTCCCCAGACCATACCTTGAGATCCATTTCTCTATATTTCTGTTTTACAGAAAAACATTCTCTGTGTTTCTTTTTACAGAAAAAACTTATTGCTGAGTTTTGGTTATTTTCTTTCCCCCGTCCATCTCTTCTTGAGGTTGGATTTTTTTTTTTTTTGGCTCTTTTTATTTTTTTACTTATATCTTTTAAAAATTTATTTATTTATTGGAGGTACTAGAAATCAAACTCTCAGCCTTGCGCTTGTCAGCAGGTACTTATGCCTCTGAACTGTATCCCCAGCCTTGAGGTTGTTGATCTTTGTACTTGGTACTTAGCTACATGTAGGAAAGTATAATGTCTTGGGGATATTTCCTTCTTCCTGGTAATTCTAGTCTTAAAGTGAAGGGATTTGTTCCCGTAACCTTGTACAATGCCATCCGGAAGACACAATGTACAGTCTCACTTTCTTGAGCATTCTTAGCACCATAATGACAGAGGTAGAGATGGTAAATGCAGGAGTTTTGAGGTTAATCAGGAGAGACCTCTGGATGAGTTTTATCAGTTAATTAAGGTAGAAAAACATTCTTAGCAAAAAAAATAAATAAAAAGGACAGAAATGCAATGAAAATATTGGAGAGAGGTGTCTTAAAAGGATTAAGATGAATGTGGCTTTGGAAGGAGTTTTAAATGTTCTGGGTTATTGGTGTGCCCTTCAACTTTTTTCATTTCATAACCAGTCAAATGTAAGAAACTATTTCTGTGAATCTTTAGGATTGACAACCTTTAGTAAGGAGAACAAATAAGGGTTAAAAAGTAAAGTCTCTCATCATCATTTCATAAAAGGCCAGTTATTATCTGTATACCCTATGGTATAGTTTGGTCCTGCGTGTTGAAGGCTTGGTCCCCAGCTTGTCGCTGTCAGGAGAAACAACAAACTCTAAGGGTCAAGGACTCAGGTCTTGGGAGTGTGCTCTAAAGGGGCTGGGGGGCCCTAATCCCTCCTCCTTGCACCCTTTCCGTATTCCGCCGGAAGGTGAGCAGCTTCGTGGTGACACACATTCCTCTGATATGCCAGCCCTCATCAGAGGTGAAGCAGCACTGTGTCCACCCAGTCAGGGATCCAGGGCTGGAGCCTCCAAACCTGAAAACCTCTATCTTCACAGATTGATTGCTCTGAGCAAACAGATTATCTCTGTTTGTTCAGTAACAGAAAGCTAACAAACACTCTGATAATCTCTACTGGCTATAAATTCTTGCAGTGTTGGAGAAGGCACTACATTTTAAAAGGGTGACGTAGCATGAAGCTAGGAGCAAAAGGAGTTTGATAGATGTTTCTCCTGACCATCTGGCCTAGACTGAGTAGAGCACACAATAAGTTTAGTTTTTCTAGATCTCCGAGCCCTCTCTCAGCACATACTGTGTTTTCCCTCTCCCAGAAAATGTCTGTGGCTTCAACATAGCTCCAGCATTAGTACCTCTGTGAAGCTTGTGGTTTTTCTCTCAATTTTTCCTGCTAGCTTTTCTAAGTCCCCACTGCATGGTTACTGCAGTTAGATGGAAGCTCTGAAAGATCTTGTCTTTCCACTAAGTTTAAGCATTATGAGGGTGGGTGTGTGTCTTTTTATCATGAATACTGAGGGCTTTAATCTGATGCATTATAAGCACTCAGCATCTTAAAACACTTAACTGTTCTGAGTAAACAATAGAAAGCATCATTATGCAATGCAAATGTTGTCTGTATAATAACGCTGAAAAGTCAGTGGTTAATATTTACTTCCAACAGAGATTAGGAAAAAAATTTTAAGTTTTTAGTTCACCTCAAAAGGTCTTTAATATTTTGCAGGACTATATTCAGTGATTTCAGGAAATACTTAGAATAAAAATGGATAAAGGGATCTGAAGTTAGTATACAATGGAGATAGCCATTTACAGCAGTATATCAAGGCTCCTTTGTTTTAATCATCAATCAATTCCTCTGTTAATAAGAATAATGGTGCAGGCAATCGCAAGCAGAATAATTAGCAGGGCTTTTCTCTCGGGCTTTAGGGGGCATTATAGGAATCCTGGGAACAGATTTTCTAATTGTTTTTCTCAGGCTAACATAAAATAAATTTCTTTGCCTTCCAAATGAATATCTTAAGTGCAATGCAGAGAACTGAAAATTTATAGTAATTCCACCTGCAGATAATTGAGGATTACATATATGTGTGTGGTGTCTGCGTTCACACAGGCAGTATGGTAACAAATGATCTTAGGCAATCCATAAGAGCCAGAACTGTTGCATAAAGGATTGGAGCATTCTGACCTGCAGGCACTGCTGACAGGTTGTATGCATATTCAGATGTGGGAAGGAAGAGGTGCAGTGTGCTGCCGTCTGTTAGTCAGTGCTCACTGAGCATCCGTGAGGGCAGAAGGTCCCATACAGCATGCTTGGCCTTTGTTGCTGGCTAATGCTTCCCATGCTTTTCATGTTGATTCTGTTTTTGTTTTTGTTGGCTGGTAGTTTGTTTTTGTCTTGTTGAGACAGGGTCTCCATGTGCAATTCAGGCTGGCCTTGAGCTCACTTTTTAACCCAGGCTGGTCTCAAACTTGCAACAGTCCTGCTTCAGCCTGTCAAGTGCTGGGATTCATGTGCCATCGCACTGGTTCCATGTTGACTCTTACTTGTGCTGTATTTCAGTTTGTCTTGGAGACTTCACTTCTTTTGCTTTTTAAACAGCTTAAAACTATACCTGTCAGTTAAAATTTTCATTGATAAGCCCTTACTGTTTCTTTCACTTCTTCCTTTGGGGTTCATCTATGTTGATTTTAGCTCTCTCCAGTGAAATTTTCAGTGCTTACAGAAAATAACCAGTCAGGTTGGCCCAGTAAGAGATTTTCTTTTTTTTGTATGGGGAATTGATCTTACGGCCTTATGCTTGCCAGGCAGGCGCTGTACTGCTCAGCTACATCTCCGCCTGGAAAACTTTTGCAAGACAAGTGATCGTTTCCTTTTTAAAGTATCTTCTTGGGGTTGGGGATAGAGCTCAGTGGCTCAGCACCTGCCTGCCAAGTGCAAGATCATGAGGTTGATTCCCAGTACCGAAAAATAAATAATAAACTGTCATCTTACTACCATCAAATCTCCCTGCTCAATATGTGGAAATTTTATTTCTCTTACCTATGTTGAACACTGGGTCCACAGCAGTTTTTGCTTGAAACCTAACAGTCTTTGACCTATCTTCCTTCAAAGCCTGATTCAGAACTTTAGTCTAGTGAGATCTGTCTTGGTAGCCTTTATTTGAATTTTCATATTCCCACCATGGCTTACATTCTACATAATCAAATGCAACAGTTTTCATATTTAGTTTCTATATGAATAATAACATGTGTAAACCCTAAATCTGGCTAGATTCAGGGTTTTGTTGAACTGGCTAGTTCAACAAAAGTTATACAATAAAATAATCTCTGCCGAACCTTGAAAATTGTAGTGGTAATAATGTTTATCTTTTTTTTTTCAGTGTAAAGTGATATTCCCCGCATTCTGGAAGGCTACAGCAGGAGGATTATAAATTTAAACCCAGCCTTGGCAATTTAACAACAGTAAAACTGTGCTTCAAAATAAAAAATAAAAAGGCTTGTAACCAATTGCAGAGGCTCTGGTTCAAGCCCCCTGTCCCAACCAAATTATCTCAGTTTACCAACAATGTTGTAGGCTGTACGAAGATAAGAAGTGTTTTTCTACAAGATTGTGTTAAGAGGGTTCTTTGGTTTTTTCATTTATTTCTTTTCCTTTTTTCTGTAGTGGACATTGAACCCAGAGCCTCTACATGCTAGGCAAGTGTTCTGCTAATGAGCTACATTCCCATATCAGTTTTTTCTTTAAAACATTAATAGTTTTCACAAAAAATGGTTTTTACAGTACCCAGTTTTCACTCCCAAAGGCACAACTCTCAAGACTTGGATGAGTCCTGGTTGACTTCAATGCTGAGTGACAGGAAGTCAGCCTCTCGTTACCCTCAGCCCACACATGTAAGCACACTGCCCTTCCACCACACCACAGAAAGGTCCCCTGCTCTCACCGAAAGTTCAGTCCTGGCATGTGTGGCCATGGCATTCCTCAGGATTAGGGCACTGAGGTATTTTTGTTACAGCGTTAACTGTTGCTGATGTTTTTCATTCTTACTGTTACTCTTTCAGTAACTTCCTCAGGTATGATCTTGTCCACATACTGATAGCTAATGAAGTACGTACTTCTGGGTTCTTGGGTTGTGTAGATGTTTGTAAGTTATAAAAACACTTTTCAGAAAAAAAATTTTTTTTTGTACCAGGGATCAAACTCACAACCTTGCACTTGCCAAATAGGCACTTAAGCCGCTGAGCTAAATCCCTAGCCCCCACTTTTCAGAAATTTAAAATAGCTGGGCATGGTGATGCAAAGCTATAAATTCTACCACTCAGAAGGCTGAGGCAGCAAAGTATCTTTTGAGTTTGAGGCCAGCCTGGGCTACAGAGTGAGTTCAAGGCCAACCTGGACTACAGAGTAAAAAACCTGTTCGCAAAGACAAAAAAAGCAAAAATTTTAAATAAAAAGTTTTTTTAAATTAATGCCACTCATCAAGTATTTTGAGAATTATTTTTCGTTAAAACATTAACATGTGGGGTTTGTCTTGTTTGCAGTGACAGTGAACAAATGACTAATTTCATATAAATGTGGCATCCTCTGATATTAAGAATTTAATGAACATTAACAGTTTTTATCTTCCTATATTCTCAAGAAAAAATAAAGGTGTCAGGTGTTTGATTGGCATTTTATTGCAACAGATACATTTTAAACATTTGTATTTGGTGCTGTAAAAAAGAAACATAAGACAGACTCTTTCTGACTTGGCTTTGATACAGACTTACTTCCATTTTGTACTTTCAACATCCAGCCCTCTATAATGAGAAGTCAGGGTTTTGTGGGGTGGGCGGTTGAGGCAAGATTTCACAGGCTGGCCTTGAGCTCATAGTAGTCCTCCTGCCCCAGTCTCCTGAGTGTGGGAGTACAGGTGTGTGCCACCACCCCTAGCAGCAGTGAGTCTTAACTCTAAAGTAACTTTCGAGTCTGAAGTACTAAATTCTCACAAATCCAAAAAACAGATATTGTGTACTAGATTTAATTAAGAAACTGCTAGGATATTTAAGAGGTATAACAAATATGTGGAACAAAGTTTTCCAGTTAGTGCTAAGATAGACTCTATTTAACTGAAAATTTTACATAACACTTGAGAGTTCACCAAGAGATGTAGTGTGCATTTCATTTAAACCTAATGATGGCCCTTATAAGTAGGATATCTCCAAATACTACAAATAGCCGACTGACTCAGGTTTTCAGATGGTAGCTGACTTGCATAAGAATGCAAATTAGCTGTTCTGACTTAAGACCTTTTGCTTTTACTGTTTAAAAACACCATATTCCATGAGAATTCAAAATGGTTGCCTTTCAACTACACATTAAGATGTTGTGAAGGGTATGACAGTATCTCACGTAAAAGCTCTGTAATTAGCCTGAGTTACTAGAAGGAATTAGAACTATCATTGTGGTTATTAATCATGCAAATTTTGTGAGAGGTTAGTTAATGGACTTAAGTTCCATCAGACATTTTGGCTGAAACAGAGTTTTTCTTTAAAACTTAAAAATATTCAAATACGTTTCTTTATTGATCTTCAGAACTACATCTCTGACACAGAACATTGAGCTAACACCTAGAATAAATGCTGTTTCTTGGCCACGCATCATATTTATTTCCAGTGATCTTCCGCTGACTGATTTCAGAGAACAAACGGGCATAGTCTTACCACCGACAGCATTCAGCCGTTAGAAGTGTAAGTTTACTGGGAACAGTTTGTCATTCATTTTATTTTATTAAAGTTCTGTCTCCCTTTTCCCCTATAGGTTTGTAAAAGAATGGACTTGGTTTGCCAGAGAATGTTGAATCAGGGGTTTCTGAAAGTGGAGAGGTACCATAATCTGTGTCAAAAGCAGGTGAAAGCACAGCTCCCAAGGTACGCCGTGACTACTGGTAACATTCATTTACAGTTCAGCTGTTTGGCTTTTATATTGATATTTAATTAGTTTTTAAATCTCAATGTTAGTACCTCCTAGTTTTTGTAAGAAAGAACACACAGATCACAATAAGTGGTTTCTACTGTCGTTTGGTTTTCTTGGGCATTCCAGCAAGGGGAATGGACAAGAAAGTGAAATAAAGGAATCCAGGTATGAAAAAATGAGGTGAGATTCTCTGCTCAAAGATAGTAGTTTTGGTATGCCAGAAATACAGTAATGAATTAACTAAGAGTGTGTAAGCGAAATGTGAGCTCAGTATACAAAAATCAGTTGTATTTCTACACACTAGCAATGAATAATCTGAAAGTAAAATTTAAAAGACATTTCCATTTATAATAATGTGAAAAAGGAAAAGTACTTAGTAAAAAATTCCATGAAAGAAGCATGAGACTTGCATACCACATTGTTGAAGGAAATTAAATAAACTAAATAAATGTAAAGTCATTGTGTTTGTAGATTGAAATTCTTTGTATTTGTTAAGGTAGCAGTATTCCCTAGATTGATCCACACAGATACAGTACAGTCCCTGTCAAAGTCCTACCTGTCTCTTACAAAACATGATAGGCTAATCCTAAAATTCCTGTGGAAATACAAGAGGTTCAAAGAGTCGGAGAATAATCGTGACACTAGAAGACTAACACTTCCTGATTCTAAAATTTACTATAAAGCTGTAATCCTCAAGCAGTGTGGTGCACATAAGCATAGAAATACAGATTGAGGCAGTACAATCAAGAGTCCAGAAAATAAGCTCTCATATTTTTAGCCAGTTGGTTTTTAATGAGGATGTTAAATGGGAAAAGAAAAGTTTTCAACAAATGATGCTAGTAACAAATACCTGAACATAAGAGAATTAAGTTGGACCCTACCTCATACCCTAATTAAAAAACAGTAGGCCTAGGGCTGGGGATTTAGCTCAGCGGCATAAGCGCCTGCCTCGCAAGCAGACAGTCGTGAGTTTGATCCCTGGTACCGATAAAAACGAAAAAAAAATAAAAAAACAGTAGGCCTGGGGCTGGGGATTTAACTCAGGGAATAAGCACCTGCCTCGCAAGCAGGCGGTCGTGAGTTCGATCCCTGGTACTGATAAAAAGTTTAAAAAAAAAAAAAAAACAGTAGGCCTAAGCGGAAATGTCAGCACTATACTCCAAAACCCGTAAGGTAACACCATAGTAAATCTTCATGAAGGTAGATTGGTGCTTTGTTATATATGATGACCAATGCATAAATAAAGAGGAAAAAAGATATGGGCAAGTTGATGTCATCAAAATTTAAAACTTTGTAGGTCTAAGGAGTCCATGAGAAAGTGAGGGCTAGGGATGTAGCTCGGTCGTAGAGTTCCCCTGGCATGTAGCAGGGCCCTGGGTTCAGTCCCCAGTATTGAGAGGGAAAGAAAGTGCCAGCACTACCCACAGAAAGAGAAAAAATCATGTTGAGGTCACATTGCTGATAAGGGATGTGCGTAACATCCAGGATGTATTAGGAACTCATAAAACTCAATAATGAAAGGTAACCATTGTAAGAGTAGGCAAGGAGTTTCAGTAGACACTTCTCCAATGAAATATTCTAATAGGTCATAAGCATGTAAAGAAGTCCAGCAAGGTGTCTTGTTAGGGAAATGTGAAGGGAATGCCTCGTCAGAGTGGTGTGACTATTCTCTGAAAGTTAAAGACAGGCATGCAATCCAGAAGTTTCAGCCTTGCTATGTACTCAGGAGAAATTAGAACAGGAGTATACACAAGGCTCTGGGTTTGAGCTGGGTGCACCACAAAAGGCAAACAAAACCAAATAATCCAGTGGCCAAAATGCTGAACAACTCAGATAGATACCCATCAGCCAGTAATGAAGTGATGATACTACCATACAAGAGAATGTTCAGCCATGAAAAGATACACGATGGAACACAAATGAGCCATGAGAAATATGCAGAGTGAAAGAAGCCAGACAGAAAGCTACACACCCCAGGATTCCCTTTATAGGAAATGCTCAGAGTAAGCAAACCTGGGAAACAGAAAGTAGATTAGAAACTGGTGGAGAGGGAGTAACTGGTGATGAGAATTTCAGTCACTTATCTGTTAGATATGTAAAAGCTGTTACATAACATACACTAACAATTCGTAGCATACTCGACTTGTGTGGGTGTGAATTACTTCTGAGTAAAGCTGTTTTAAGGTGGTAAGTTTTATGAGCAAAAATATACAGTCTTAGCTGTGTCTGTGTGTAATATGGCCCTTGGACTTGCTACAGCTCCCCCATCCCCCAAAAGAGGAAAGTATGTAATTTTTTTTTCTTTGTAGTGCTGGTTATCAAACCCTCATTAGGCATGCTAGGCAAGCACCGTATCATGAAGCTAAACCTCTGCCCTAATTCCTTTTCAGTATAAAGTAGTTTTTATTGTTTAGCTATTTTGGTAGTGAATATTGGTCCTTCGAAGAATTTCTGCATAATGGTTCATTCTTATCACAGTTCTGACCACACTGTGGATTTGTAAATTCACACATCAATATTGGACTGTTTCAGTACAGCATTTTGATTGCTAAACATTTTAATCTACATACTGCCTTAGTGAATGCCATTTATTTTTATAATTTTAGGCGGGAATCAGAAAGGAGAAACCATTCTTTAGCTCGTCATGCAGACATCCTTGCTGCTGTGGAAACAAGGCTGTCGCTGTTAAATATGACTTTCATGAAGTATGTGGATTCGAATCTCTGTTGCTTCATCCCAGGAAAGGTAAAATAGAACTGCTTGCTCAGAACAGCTATATTGCCCTGTGTCAACTGCATTTTGTTCCAGATTTACAAAGTGGTTTTTGGGAAGTCAGAATTGCTCCCACTTTTCTGAATGAGTTTCTATGAATCGGTCTGTTTAGCTTCTGTACAGCTATAGTTATGAGTGTGTATCATATATGTGGTCTTTCCATTCAAAATGCTAATTCCTGCAGTGGAAATTCTTAATATTCTGCAGAGAAGAATTGTTAAGAATTCAGATTCAAGTGCTGATCTTAAGATTCTGCAGACACTGCAGTAGACAAGAAAGGGTTGTTCTGCCTCTGAGATTAGTACACTGTGGGGAGAGAGTAGGAGAAGATGGTTTTTGTGTGGTTTGAGAAATGTTTCTCAGTGCCAGCTTTGTAAAGTTGGAGATTTGACCAGAATACATATTTACTATATAGCAGTACATTCTGAGCTAAGTAGTAGTCCTCTTTAACACACAGATAAGGATATTGTGGCATGTTTACTAAATTAATGAAAACTTCAGCATTCCACATGAGTTAAAATTCCACCTTTTTAAAAAACAATTTTATTACCGTGTTTGTTATAATAATGATTATATTAATTGTGGGTAATTTTTACATGTACATAAAGAATTCCACTTCTTGAAGTATAAATGCAAGTGAGGTATGGAACCAGTGAAATGGACTTGAAGATTACTTTGTTACTTGATCTGATGGTGGTAAAGGCTTCTTTTACACATTGGAACTAATTAAATAGCTAACAGAATGCAAATACTCTCTCTTTGTTATTTTCATAGAAAATTGACATTAGCAGTATGGTATATTTATGTCATTTATTTCAGGAGAAAAATCTTACAACTTTCTGAATATCTCGGTAAATCTCACTTGTCTACAGATGCTCTGTAGAAACTATAAAATGGCGAACAACTAGAAACTCTAGGTTCTGACTCTGTTGCCAGATTTTAGGCAAGAGATCTCCCAGGCCTTAACTCCTAGGTGTTGGTTCACTCTTAGTTTCCTTTGAACTGGTACAGGTTATCTTCTCCAGCTTCAGAGTTTTTACTAAAGGAAATGAATATTTAAGAGCTGTCTGTGGTTTCGGAATGTCAAGGCGATTCAACCAGCTATAACTAAGCAATGGAGAGGTCTGTCTGTGATCAGGTTCCCAGGGCCTGCAGAGACCACAGTGCTTTGCACCAGGCTGACATGGCCAGCCTTGGTTTTCTAGCACCAGGCGCACATGGCTGCAGCTGTCTTTGTGTCTGAGGACTCCTGCTGCTGTGGAACCTCTTGCTGGTTCTTCCCTTTGAGTGCAGTCCATGAGCTCAAGGCTGCAGTGGAGACAGATCCCATAACCTGCAGGCGCAGTGGTCTTCCTAGCGTGTGCCCTCGGCAGCTCGTTTGCTGGAGCCCTCTCCTGGCCCCAGGAGGACAGTAGGTAGGAGGAGCCTGGCTCCTACCACTGCATCATGGCGTGAATGTCACCCTGTCCCTTTGTCTTGTCCTGGCTGCATCTTACGTTTCTGAGGAACTTTCATTTACATGATCTCATTTATAGCTGTGCACTGTGAGTAAAGCAAAGGTTACTTTCTCTGCTTTATCAATAAGAAAGTTGAAGCCCAGAAGAGAAGTTGATTGATTGGATGAAAACTACACTCTAGGCTTTGCATTTCTCAGTTGTCTTCCTGTTTCCTTCCTTGTGTCTTCTTCTTTTTTAAAAAAGGAATAAAACAATAAAGTGAAGCAAAGCAATTAAAATGTTGGACTTCAAAAACAAGACAGTAGGAAATCCACAATAGTTACTGTATTGCATGTTGTTGTTCTCTAAATTGAAGCTCAGACTACTCACTTTAAGTCTGCAAAGTCAAACAGTATAAGCATTAAGTTCTTTCTTCAGTTGCTGTCATCTCAGTCTGTATCCCTCCAAATCAGCCAGTTGATAGAGGGAGAGGTCCTCTCCCTGCCCGAGCGCTGGCTAACTCACAGGGAAGGGTGGGCACTGATTCCTGGTTCCTTGTTTGTTTTTTTTTTTTTTTTTTTTTTTTTTTGTTACTATTTTTAATACCGATTTCTTTACAAGAATTTACTCTATTTTTTTCTCCCACATACCTGTACTTGATTGGAAATAACAAAAAAATAGTAATTTGTTTAGCTTTGGGTTTTGTTTTTTAAGAATATACATTTATAGCTCATATTTCCTAAAATGATTGTGTGAATACTCAAAGTTTTCAGTTTTTATTTTTACATTGCTAGTACTTTTTATGTTACTTATGCAAAATATCTAACTTACCAAAGTTTGTAGTATTTGGATTGTTTTATGACTTTTTTATACTTACCCTTCTCATACACTATCTTTGAAACATAAGCACATGGCATTTAACCTTCAGATGCTGCCATCCAGCTCTCCATTGCTGGTACAAATGCCTAAGGTACTTGACTTACAAGGAGAAGGGCTTTGGTTTGCCTACTGGTCCCTTGGCCCTGTGGCTTTGAACCTGTTTTGGCATAGCACATCATGGCCAGGTGTGCGCACAGAGCAGAGGTGCAGGGAAACAGGGAGACCTCTATCCAAGTGACCTTCCTCTGATGGGCCCTGTTTTTCTGTAGCAGCACTGAGAAACAAGACTTTAAGTAGATGGGCCTTCGGGGGACATTCCAGAATCAGACTGTGGCCAATGCTGTATAAAATCATTTTTTTCTTGTGTGACATACAGTTTTTAAAAAATGTTCAGTTCTCTCTATAAAGTCGCACATAGAAACAGTAAAAATAATCCCAAAAAATGGGAAGGGGATAAAATTAAAAAAAAAAAAAAAAAAAAGAGAGAGGTTAAGGGAGCTCATCATTTCTCAGGCTTTTCATTGATTTCCTCTCCAAGGTCCTTGTTCTCCTTCACTGAGAGAGCTTCTAAGTTTTCAGCCACTTTTGCAGCATTAGCTTCTTAGTGTCTTTGCCTGGTCTCTTCCCAGCTGAGCTCAGAGGCTCCAGCAGGTGCTGCTGGTCACTCCTGCTGGAAGGTTCAGTGACGTGTGATCAGCACCAAAGCAGCCACCATCTGCACCTGAGGAGCAAGAGACTGAGTCCTCTGAGAGAAAATGAGGACCATCCTGGTGCACCCATAGCCCCATTGTAGGTTCCCAAAAGTCATGACTCTACTGCCACCTGGACTGGAATGACGTGAGGCCGGTGACTACATACTCTTGTCTCCCTGGAAGAGGCATTTCCCCCTGGCAAGTGACAGCTGCCGCAGCTCCCTGAACTGATTCTCTGGCCGACAGAAAAAGTACCTGCCTGGGGGCGGCATCCAGGTGCAGTGAGCCCACGAACAACAGTCTCAGTTTGGTGTACGATTTCTCTGTCCTGAAGGTCGTGTCCTGAGTTATTAAAGTTTAGGAACCTTTATACTTCGTAGGAGAACTCAGTTGTGTAGGTTTTATATGGACTGTGTTCAGATCTACAGTCAGTGTTTTATTTCACAAGTTCCTTAAGTGAATCTGGGTAACAACCACGTAGTTTAAATTACATTGTCAGATCTGTACCAGTTTTGGGTGTTGTCACTACAGAGGTAAAAGCCAGATAGTAAATATTTTTGGCTTTGGGAGCCATGTAGTCTCTGCCACAGCTATTCAAGTCTGAGAAACATCCATGGACAGCATGTGGCAAATGAATGAGTGTGCATATGTTCCAATAAAACTATTTCCAAAAATAGACGCAGACCAAATGGGAACATACTTGGTGAACCCTGACCACCTTGTTAGTCTTTGGTCAGGGTTGAGACAAATCTCTCAGAACTAAAGTGTCACAGGTTGATAGTTAGCTTTTACTTCTGTGTGCATTTCTCAGCTTTCCTGCCTGACATGCACATTGTACTTTGTGTACTAAGCTCATGTCTGCATCAGCAGTTCCCTTGTCCTGGAGTTTGTGCCACCTGTGAGCAGTGGGCACTTAGCCATTCTGGGAAGTAAAGTGGTGAAGTTCCCATTCCTAAGCATTAGCAGTCCTGATAACCCTTGTATTCCTACTGAAGCCCAGTGCCCCCTAAAGTTAGGATTTTCACAGTGTAAATGATTAAGATCGTGGAACCCAGTGTCCCTAAAAGACCTAAACTCTACATATTAGGTGTGGTTGGTTTATTTATAATGTTTTGGGAAAGGCAGCTGGTAGTGTTAAATTGTGTTACTAAGATCCAGCATTTCATTATTGAGATCCAGTGCCTCTGTTTGCTTTTATTCATTTTTTCTTTTTTGATACCAGGGATTGAATTCACAACCTCGAGCTTACCAGGCAAGCACTTGAGCCACTGAGCTAAATCCCCAGCCCGTTTATTCATTTTTATATGTGCATTTTTTTATGTGCATTTTATTTTTGTCTCAACCATTTGAAAATAAGACATATGATCTTTCATTTTTTTATTTATTTATTTTTAGAGACAGAGTCTATGTAGTACAGACAGGTCTTGAGCTCACTTACGTAGCCTAGGCTGGCCTGGAACTCTCAGTGATCTCCCTACTTCAGCTTCCTAAGTGCGGGGATTACAGGTGTAAGCTACCATGCCTGGCTGATCTTTGATTCTTAAATATTTCAATATGTTTCCTAAGAGCTATAATATTTACTTAACTATAGTCCATATATAAAAATTAGAAAAGTTAATAATATTTCTATTTACTTGAGGGTTTACATTTAGATTTCATTACTTACTGCTCCCAGCAATTTCCTTTCTCAGTCTAGAATCTCATGGAGGGCTGGGAATAGACTGAGCTTATGCTGAAACAGTCTCTGGGCACTTTTGTGTCTTTTCATCTTCACCTTTTTAAATAGCAAACATCAGTTCTTTGATGGGATGTCCTTCAGCTTAGGGGTAGATGTCTGGTGTTGCCGAAATGTTGAAATTTTGCCTCTTAAATTTGGTAGTACTGTGATCACCCCCAATAAATATACCCAGTGTGACCTTTTAAAATGAAAAAAGTATACTTCCATGTTGAATTTCTAGATCCCTCCTTCTGACTCCACCGTTTCTGGATAACTGGGGAGTTCTGATCATTCTTTTTTTTATGTGCTGCAGTCTTAAATATAAGCAGAGAGCAGAGAATCACTAAACCAGTATGTACAGAAAACAAACAGGAAGGAAAAAAGCCTTCGAGGAAATTGTGTGAGGATAGAAAAAATGTTTTTAAAAAGCTATAATATTATAGAGAAATTAAAGATGTGTAGCACGTGCCATAAGGATATTCAGATTTTTAAACATTTAAGTTTTTGAAGTATGGAAGAATTTTTTTTTTTAAATTAAGCAAAAGAGATAAATGGTAAAGTTAAGAAATCTCAAGTAGAACAGAAAAATACGGAGTCATGCATGGTGGTACACACCTGTAACCCCTGCAAATCTGAGGCCAGTTTGGGCAACATGGTGAATTCAAGAACAGCTTCAAATTAGATGGCAAGACCCTGTCTCAAAAAAAAAAAAAAAAAAGAGGTTCATTAATGTAATAGATCTTTGTTTACTGAACAATAGATTAAAGACTCTCTTTCATAGTAGCCTAAAGGCTTAAATGGTAGTATTTCATTTATTACTGTGCTAATTTAAACACGACACAGTGAACTGTATGTCAGAAATGTAATTGTTCCGCTTGTGTTGTGTCATATCTTCTTAAAATTCGAAAACATTTTTCAAGCCAGGCGTGGTAGTGCACACTTGTGATCCCAGCACCCTGGGAGTTGGAGGCTGGAGAATCACAAGCCCAAGCCCAGTCTGGGAAATTCAGCCCCTTATGGAGATCCCATCTCAAGATAAAAATCTTAAAAGGGCTGAGGATGTAGCTCAGTCCATAGGCCTTTGACCCAATCCCCAGTACAGCAGTCAAAGTCAATCAGTCAGAGACTCTTTATGATCCACAGCCTATGTAAAGTTCAGTGTGCAGCATACTATTTTAAAGGTCAAGAAACAGCCATTAAGTGCCCTGACTGAGGCTTGTGTTCTTTCCACTGAACCTCAAAATAATGTAAGAAATGACAAGACCAACTCAGAAAGTGAACTGTCTCTAACACTTGATAAGTCCATGTCTTTATGCCGTTGCCAATGCTGACAGCTGTGGGAGAAGCAGTGTAGTTTTTCTACACACAGTTGCTGTCCTTTATCTCGTTCCCCTCCTCATAGCTTTTGGACAGAAGAAAAAAAACTTTTAAATTTTATTAACAATGCGAATTACCCAATCTATTGACTAAAATCTCTGTATAGTATAAAGATTTGAAAATATTACCTTTGTTAGTGGATTTCAGCAGGTGCAAAGAAGTAACCTTGTTTTTACTATTTTTAGAAGAGTAAACAGTAAATAACATTCCACAATGTATAGTTATAGTTCAGTATGAGGTGGCAGTGCCTGGGTGATATTTTGCTCTGAAAATCACCGTGAGGAATCAGCATTGTACACCCTAGAACAGATGCCAGGTGGGCAGTAGTGCTACCCAGCGTGGCTTCCGTCCTTGGCTCCTGCCTGCACCCTCCCATCCCTGTCCAGCTCTGCTCATTCCTTGTCAGGTTCCCAGCTCCTGCCTCCCTAACCATGATCGTGGTGTTTCTCGGACCTACCTGGTGCTCTCAGACTGATCTTAGCTCTGCTTTTTTATTTCCACACAACACTTGGCTTTCATGGAACTTTTTATAGTCTATCTGACATGTTATGCTGTTTGCAGTCTTTGAGGAAGTCTTTTCCATAGCCTAGGATTTGAGTCTTCTCATGCCTGACAGTTAACAGTCATTCCCAGTCTAACTCACATGTACTGTGAATATTCTGCTGCTGGTATTTATGTATATAAACATAATAGCTAGAGCTTTGTTAATCAAAGTGTGGATGCTATACTAAACATGTAAGTATTTGTATTTTTAGAAATCCTTCTCAATAGAAATCCTGTGAACTCTGACCTTCGTGTTCAGTCAGTCCTCTAAAAACCATATTACTGTATTGAATTTAACTCTGTAGCTTACCTATATATAGATATGTCAGTTTTAAGGTTAGAATACTTGATCGCATCTATTGAGTATCTGCCATATTGCCACACCTCTAGGCTCGGAATCTGACAGTGAAACCAGATGTGATATCTTTTGTCCCAGAGCTTACTGTGATATGTGGAAGACAGATTGCCAGAAAGATGGATTTAGAATGTATAATTGTATCTGAAGGAGCAATAAAAGATTTAATGAAGATGTTAACATGATTGACATTAGGGGGCTCCAGGAAGACTACTCTGAGAAAGTAATGCTGCTGAGACCTCAAGAATGGGCAAGGAAGTGGAGTATGGTGGCACACACCTATAATCCCAGTACTCAGGAGGCGGGGGCAGGAGGATTGTCACAGGTATTGAGATACTTAGTGAGATCTTATCTCAAAAAACCTAAAAAGAAGAAGAAAAAGAAGACCAGGCAAGAAATTTGGCTTGCAGCAGATACACAAGGAGCATATTCCAGCAGGAGGGGTCAGAGTCTGTAAATACCGTGGCCAACCAGATGGGAGACTGACTTAATTCACAGAGGCAATGACCAGTCTGTGGCTGTAGGTGCAGTACACTGGCACTGGGGACATTTGAAAAAGCGGAGGAGCATTGCAGTGCTTTTTCCAAAACTAATAAAAAACAAAGTTACTGTGATCAATTAATATCATGGCACTAGCACATAAAATATCGGTCAATATGGTAACCTTTTTGAAAATAGTATTGTGGGTCATATTTTTAATCTTATTAGACTATTTTGGTTTTGTTTTGTTTTTAAGACAAGGTCTTGCCATACAGTCCAGGCTGGCCTTGAAATCACTATGTAGCCCAGGCTGGTCACAGACTCCCGGCAGTTCTCCTGCCTCAGCCTTCCTCGTGCTGGGATTACAGGCGTGTGCCACCATACCTGGCTTTTTAGCTGTATCTTTATTATTTTTGAGTATTGCATAATTTCTACAGTTTTAAGTTTTCGTAACTATTTGTTTGGAGATATATGTACACACACGTTTGTAAGCTAAAACTAATATTGGTAGCTATTTCGCAAAAGTGTTGTAGGTTCTAGTCTGATACCCTACTATTTAAAGTACATATAAAATAGTACCTGTTTCCTGCCCTTGAGCTCCCCCAATGAGCCGCGCCAGCACTGGCCTTGGGACTGCTCTTCCAGGTTTGAGTGACCAGTCCTGCTCTTCCCTGGCCCGTTTACCCCAGGAGGCACAATTGTATGACTCTTCCTTTTCTTGTAAACTCCAAAGTTATTTTTCTTACTTGTTTTCTTGATTTTCATAAGAATAGCAGTTTTCTCATTCCTATTCATGGTTTTCATTTTACCGTGTTTGCTGAGCCAGGACATGAGTGATGCTTTCTTAACATCCAAGGCAGTGGTGGCAACCTTTCAGAGCTCGCCGTGTTCCAGCTGACCTGCTGTGGCACGCATGCTGCAGGTTACCACCACTGGGTAGGACAGGCACACAGAGTTGCAGGGAGCCTGGGGGAATGACTGTATGTTTTTCTTAATATAGGTAGTGGTTTTTACCAGAGTAGTTGGATAAGTTTTTGAATCAAAGATGAGTTCCGTATCGGGTAGTAATGATAGAAACAATGCATCCTTACCCGCTGGTGCCTTGGACTCTACGCTGCTGCACTCACTTGCTTGTTCCCAAGGCTGTGGCGGTGCTTCTGACTGTGGTGGACTGCTGTGGCCTTGCCACCCTCTGTGGTGACTCTTCACTCTAGCTGTCTGCTGTCAGTGTCACCCTAGACCACCTGCCATATCTCATCACCCTCCCCTGGACACATGCATCTGCCTAGGCATCTCATGGGCAGTTCTCCATGCTGATGCCCAGCCTCTTCTGCAGTCTTCTCTGGCAGTTCATTGTTCTGACATCTGTTAAATGAGTGTCGCTGTAGGCTGACAGAGATCGTCGTGGGGCTCCTTTTGTGAGCGTGGGCAGGTGCTGCTCTACTGTGTTGTATCTGTAGCAGTGCTCAGCTGGAAGAGAAAGGAGACCCGAGACAGATCTCAAGTGGGGAGTGAGGCAGAATGTGTGCTGTGCCGGGTTGTCTGGGATCCAGGTGACAGATGTTATGGTTATCAGCCCCTCGTTCTCGTGCAGTGCAGTCAGTTGCACAGCATCTCCAGTCGGAAGAGTCATCCTCAGGTTGCTGTGAAAGCCTTTGGAAGAACTCAGGCTGCCTTCTTCAGGCTGAAGAACTTTATGGGTTAAAAGCTGAGAGACTAAATGCCCTGGGCAGTGGAGTGCCTTTCCAGCAGGAGTCAGGAACCAGGGCTGGGGATTTAGCTGAGTGGCGTAAGCGTCTGCCTGGCAAGCCAAGGTCTTGAGTTTGATCCCCGGCACACACACAAAAAAATCAGGAACCGGGGCCATAAGAACTTAGCCTTCTCTGTGTGTGCTGTGCCCTATGTTTCCCTGTTGCAGTTGTTGCTAAGACAGAAGAATCTTTGCTACTCATTGGTGATGGCAAGAAAGCATGGTCTGAAGAAATCTATTGCAAACCACAGCAGTTCTGTGGTTTGTAATAGAATATATGGTGGGGAGTGCAGAAGGGTGAAAACACTCAGACTGAACCCTTGGGGCTTTGGGAAATGGAATTGGGCCCAGCAGTCAGTAGCATAGGGTTTGGGCTCACCTCTGCTCCCATACAGGATTTAATTCCTTTGTTCAGTACCCAGGTTACTGAGGCAGGAGGATCACCAAGAGTTGGAGACAGAATGGGCTTTATAGTGAGGTCAAGGCCAGCCTGAGACGTCTCAAAGACAAAAGAAACAGAAAGTTGTTTAGTAATTCTGAGTATAAAGTCTCATAAGAAGTGCAAAGCTGCGTGTCACAGCTGGTACTGTCCCCATGGCCAGTACATCTCCACTGGAACTGCAGAACCAGCCATCAATTCTCTGCTGTGTAGCCATTTTCCTAATAAGTGCTAATGAAAACTCATTGTTTTAGGTGATTGATGAGATTTATCGTGTGTTGAGATATGTCAATTCTACCAGAGCCCCACAGCGAGCTCATGAAGTCCTCCAGGAGTTAAGGGACATTTCCTCCATGGCCATGGAGTACTTTGATGAGAAGATCGTTCCAATTCTGAAGAGGAAACTGCCAGGCTCAGATGTGTCTGGAAGACTCATGGGCTCTCCTCCAGGTAGCTCTTGTTTATACTTTGTTCTGACCGGATTAACACGTGTGCCTAGTTTTATAAAACTTGCTCCCCAACTGTGTATCTGGAAAGTTTCTGTTAGTCAGTGTTTATTGACATCATTTTTAATGACAGATTGTATTATAGACTATAACTGTATAAAGAATCCATCATTGTTTCTAGACTTTATTTGTGGTGGTATTTTGTTTTGCATTGGTGCTGAGCATTGAACCTAGCTAAGCATGTGCTGTACCAACTACACTACATCTCCAGCTCCCTGTGTCTTGTTTTTCAGTTAAATTATGATATGTAAAACAATTGTATGACTAAATCTTTGCATTTATCCACAACTATAGACTAACAATTTCATTAAAGTAGCACTTTGCGTTAAAAGTTATATATTTGAGGGGGAGTTCTGATTACTCAGTAGTTTCTAAAAACAGAATTAGGCATATGATAAAACCTAAGATTCTTCATGGAAGTAATCCAGTAAATTACCTCAGCCACCAGAGTCTGGCTAAAGCCACTTTTAAAGCCACTTTGAACACTGTCACTTCTCCGGTAGCTATTTTGTAAAAGTATGTTGGATCCTAGAGATTTGTGCCCTTAGTTTTTGAAGTTGTTCAGTATTATCTGCCCTTGCAAATACTTTAAGCAGGGGGGGAGGGCTTAGCAAGGCTTTTTCTGCTCAGATTAGTTCGTGCCCCACGGTGCTCTGTGGGTTCAGTGATCTCTGGTTTAACACAAAGCCTGCAGCATTTCAACATTAGTGTCCATACTGCTTCCTGAGCACCTGTCATGTGCATGGCACTGTGCTGTGTCCTGTGGACACAGAAAGGACCCTGCAGTTGCCACCGGGAAAGTCTGGCCCACTTAAAATTAAATTGCTGTAGGCAAGAGAAACCTTTCCAGGCAGTGTCCACACCACAGAGGCAGTAGTGAGGAAGAAGAGGCCTGGGTGGCCTGGTGCGGGTGACTGCAGTGCAGGAGGTACAGGGCTCTGAGGCTTGGAGCCCATTGCAGTTGGCTAGGATAAGTGGGAGGAAGGGAGGTAAGTAGTGTGGTTATACATGTGCAAGGAGAAAACAAGAGTGCCGGGTTTGGGGTAGGAATAGGCCACTGGTTCTTCTGGGAAATGTTTAGGAGAAAAGATTTAAATGATGAGTGTGGTGGTACACACTGATAATTCCAGCACTTGGGAGGTTAAGACAGGATAGCAGGACTTCAAGCCAGCCTGGGCTACATATGAGAGTCAGTCTCAAAAAAAGGTTAAGGAGGGGCTGGGGATTTAGCCCAGCGGCATAAGCACCTGCCGTGCAAGCAGGCAGTCGTGAGTTTGATCCCCGGTACCGATAAAAAGGAAAAAGACAAAAAAAAAAAGGTTAGGGGGAGAAGGTTTTTCAAAACTCAGTCACCAGTTTAGAATCATGAATTCTGTGTCCCTGTTATATTCCAGTGACTCTTCAAAAACAGTAGTACCAAGGCCTTCGTACACCTTGGCAGCAGTACCTCCTGGTGCTTTTGTGTGGCATAACCCAAGCTTGACAGTACTTGTCTGTGAGCAAAGTGCAGAGTGAACATGAGAACATGGGAGGGCCAGGACATAGCTGAGCAGTGGAGGGCTCGCTCAGCATCCATGAAGCCCTGAGTTTAGTCCCCATTACTGCAGAAATGATCCAAAAAACATGACAGGTCTATTTCTCAGAGGTTTTTGTTTATGTACAATAAGACAGAAAGTGAATTTGGGTACTTAACATTTTCTTACTTGGTCCTGAAAGTGCTTGATAGTATTTGAAATCTATGCTTATGCTAAGTGCCTTCTCCATTTGGTGGCACTCAACATACCACATTGCTCTGCAGGGTATCGAGAATTCAAGTTAATTTATAGTTCAATAATTATCCGATTAATCTGTTCAACCAGATAAATTGCAAAGGAGAAATTCTCAGGAGCGAGAGGAGGACATTGCACCCTAATGAGCTTACCTAAGCATCCCTGGTCAGGAAACATGTTAAGTGGTGACCCTTTGAAACTGTTTCTCCACAGTTCCAGGACCGTCTGCAGCCCTGACGACAATGCAGCTCTTCTCCAAGCAGAACCCTTCACGACAGGAGGTTACTAAACTCCAGCAGCAGGTCAAGACCAATGGTGCTGGTGTGACAGTTCTCAGGCGGGAGATTTCTGAGCTTCGCACCAAAGTGCAGGAGCAGCAGAAGCAGCTTCAAGACCAAGATCAGAAACTGCTAGAGCAGACCCAGGTCATCGGCGAGCAGAATGCTCGGCTGGCAGAGCTGGAGCGCAAACTTCGGGAGGTCATGGAGAGCGCGGTGGGAAGGTCCTCCGGGCCCAGGCAGAGTGAGGAGTCTCCGAGGAAGCGGAGAAAGGCCGCAGAAGCCATCGACTCGTCTAGAAAATCCAAGCGGCTTCGGAATGGAAAGTAAATTGGATGGAGCACAGGCCTTGCTCCAGAGGAAGGTGTGGCTTTGCCGATCAGGATCCTGGGAACAACTCTCTGTCTGGGCTTCTAGGCTTTCAGAACTTGACTTCAGCCTAAACTCATGGTCGGGACATTCTCTCCCTGCTTCTCCTTTTGGAACGGATGCACAGAATCTTTTTATTTTGCAATAGATTTGTACTAACCAGACCTGTTCTATCATGTTTTGGGAAGTTGACTTTTTTCTGTGCAGATAATGTCTGTCTGTTTCTGCATATATGCACATTATCTAGGATCTTAAGCAAACCAGTCTTGACAGACTAGAAGTTGTTTCATACAGAAAATGTCCTGTTCACTTGAAAGAAAAAAAACCTACTTTTTAAATGGACACTATCTTGTTTAAAAAAGTTGACTTTTTGTTATAAGTGACCTTTGTCTGGAATGTCTGAAAAGTAGTTAAGCTTTTTGGTATCGAAGTAATGGGTAACTGAAAGGACTTGCATAGTGTTGACTGTAGAAGGAGCCTCTACAGTATTGACTATATATTTTTATAAACTACTGGCAAGGGACGGATCCAGTTGGTATCCACGTTTTCAGTTCTCTCTGGGGCCATGTCCTACTTGCGCACGGATGGATGCATGCACTGCCTAGTCAGCCCACTTCAAGCTCTTGCACTGGCATTGATCTTGAACCTTTGTACTTCTTCACTTCTTAGCGTCTCCTTGAGTTAAGCGCTTTACATCTTCCACTGCAACTGCTTGCCTCCAGGGGAGAATTGTTAGTCCATTTGTCCTCCAGTTTTATAGGAACCAGAGACTATTAAAGCCCGTTGCTTTAGCTGTCCTCTGTAGGGTTCAGGTGCCAAGGCAAAACCCCAGTCCAGGGCTCTTTTCTGTTGTGACCAGGCCTCTGGGAGGTAGTGTTGGTCCTAACTCCTTACTTGCTTGAGGGTCAAATGGGGGACCCAGCTTGTAGATTTAGTTTTGCCATTGAAAGAAAATTCGCTGAAGAAAATTGTGCCATGAAAGTAATTTGATAACTTCATTGTTGGGAGCTGACCTGATGGAAGCTTTTTAATATTAATTTTAGGCTTTCCTTGTCCTAACTTTACACAGAAGCTTTAATTTTGTTTGCACTCCTGTTTTGAGCTTGTAACTGGAAAGCATATCTTGCACTGTTCACCCTCTGAGTGGTCACTTTAACAACCTCCAAATTGTGGACAGTGGTTTTCTTTCCGAGCTGTGTACTTTTAAGACATTCGGTTATCACTGTCCTAGTTTTATTTTAATGTACTAAATTATGTAGTTATTTGACTGTTCTTTTAAACTGCTGCCTTGGGCTTCAGTTATTTAAAGTAAATGTAGGTGTAATGTAGAAGATTATCCCTTTCCAGGTGAGATTTTGACACCTGTATGAAACCTAAGGTTGTGGTAAGTACCTTAGTTGAATAAAAGCACAAGGTTATCCACCTCCTGTATCCGTCCAGCATGACATAATTATCCATACTTTAGGTTAGGTTACCAAATGAAACATTTCCCTATCCATTTTTAGTATTGTCCTTTCATAATTTTGTCCTCAGATTTTGGTCAGTTCTATGTCTTAACTTTGAAACTCCATTTACAATGTAGTTTGTTTTCAATGAAAACCATAAAGTAACATCCAAGTGTTTCATGGTTTGTTGGGAAGGTAATTTTAAAATAAACAGTTTCCTAAAAACATTTGTCAGCCAAGGTCATCCATAAAAGTCCCTGTCTGGAATACATTCTCTCAGCAGGTCTCACTTTTGTAATCATAGGATTTAGCCATATTCTCAGACCTTTGCAAGAGGCTTCTTGCGTACTCACAGCCTTTAGTAGTTGTTTTTCTGCTAACAGGAAGACTTTCGAAGAGCTGAGTGCAGGTTTACAAAGTGTGAACTTTATGCGTCAGTGGGGAATAGCCTCAGATTATTTCTGCAGTAGTTGTTAATAAATTGTTAAAAGCTTTTCTGAATTTGTTTTTAAGCTCCATCTGGTTAGCCTGAATGTATCTGTAGTCTTGCATTGGTTAACATGAGTGGTTGGCCTTTATAATGACCATCCAGGTATTGGAAGGTAAATTTTCTTTCCTCACACCGGATCTGCAGCACATACTCACAGTCACGAGTCACACTTGTCAGCATCGAATGTTCCACACGCAGGCAGACCACACACTACAGTTGAAGTTTCAAACTAGCTAAACTGGCGTAGGTTGTCACCTTGACTGTCATTGAGCTCTTGGGTAGAGGTCACACGTGCTTTGGGGCAGCTTGTAAGTACTGTGGGTTCTGAAGGCCACACATCATCTTCATCAGCTAAAACTGATGTTACATTGCATTTATAAACCAGCTTCCGAGGAGCTCATCCCCAACCCCAAATTTTCTGTCATTCATCTAAATGCTGTGTGTTGTTAATGGCACAACATTTCATAAAGCATTTCCATCATCTTGACTGCTTTTCAGAGAAATCTGTGTTTCACTGTGTTATGCCCACTTAAATTTATTATAGTACAACACCAGTATGTATAAAAATGTGAAAAGATGTGTGCAGAAATCAGAGAGGAGGGCCTGGGGATTGAGCTCAGCGGTATAAACACCTGCCTTGCAAGCGTGTGGTCCTGAGTTTGATCCCCGGTACCGATAAAAATTTAAAAAAAGAAATTGGAGAGGACTGACCTCACCCATCCAGCTGGTCACCGCCCCACACACACACAGACATGGTTTTCTCACCCTGCCTCACAGAGCCTCCAGTATTCTGCCTGGCCTGTTGCCGGCAGGTGGGGTATATGCAGAGCAGTCCTGCTGTTTGGAGCCTGTTGGTGCCATCAGGCCTAAAGCCACTGGTTTTGGAAGCAACTTTTTTTGGATTGCCTTAATCTCTTACTTAGTAGTTTCAAGATATATATGCATTATTCTACATGTTAAAATATTCTGTGTAGCCCCACATGTGGGTAAAACAGTATAAATAATGCTTAAATAAGCTAAAAGGTATCACTGCAGCTGGATTTTGAGAAAAGGCATAATAGGCTGTGCTTCATAAAAATAATGGCACTGTAGGATTGCACTATTTTATGCATTATTTTCTATGCCATTTCATAGCCTGCACTTTAATCTCCAAAGAAACGGTGTATGATGTCCCAGTTGTTGGTTAATAAACTTTTCCCTAGACAGGGCACTTAGTTCTATTTTATTATACTGGTTAGTTTCTTGGAGGTGGATTCCTTTTTTGAGTTCTCTACTTCCTTAGCCATAGTATTTTCGAGGATCTGGGAATCCCTCTCATCTGTTTCCAGGAGTATATAATTTTAATGCAATGGAAACCTCATCCTTGGTGATCAGCACATCCTTAGAACCTCTTCCGCAGTGAGCACCAGTTGGTCACACAGATGAGATCTGCAATTGGTGCTGTAGTGTTTGAAGGCAGGAGAGGATAGAAGGCAACTTGAAACATCCCGTGGCAGCAGTTGCTGAGGAAAGACTGCTTCTGTAGGAATCCGGCTGGACCTGCCGTCCAGTTCTTTGACTTGGGGTCTGTCTGAGTGTCTTTCACTGGTACATGAAAGGCTAGCAGCCTGCATCTGCAGTGAATTATTTTCAGAATGGACTGAGCCTACAGAAAACTAGGAGTACCAGAATTGCCAGTCCTGCTGTGATCTCACTTGGAGTAGCAATAGTTCTGTCAGTTTCAGGCTTGAGTCTTTTGGCCTCTTACAACTTCCTGGTTCAAGTCCTGAAGTTTGAAAGTTATATCCAGATTTTCCTGTTGTGTCTGAAGGAAACCATGAGGTTTAGAATCTTCAGTGGTAATCTACACACCAGATCTGTTGCCAAAGCCTAGCAGACCATACTTAAACCACCAAAAAGGTGAGATGTGTTTAGAATCCCTTGCTGTGCTGCCATGTCTGTTTACCTATGCTTTCGAGCAACAATAAAACACTAGTTTACCTTCTGGAACTTTGTTTTAAGGATTGGAAAATGAAAAGCACCTCCGGGTCACACAACAGGGTACATAAATAAATGTGTTGTTACCAGTGCCGCTTGTTTTCTTTGTATTTCATGCTCCGGAGTTTGGAGCTCTGTTGCTGTCAGTGCCCTCAGGTAGCCACTGTCCCTTGAAGCACACTTAGATGCTTCTCATGTCAAGGTCCTTATGGAAGCCACTGGAGCCAGAACACCGGGCTTGCACCACGTGGGGGAGCTGATACAGCACCCCTCCCTGTGAGGCGCTGTACTTCTGACTTCATGTTCTTTGTTTTATGAAGGTTGCACCCAGCGGGCCTTCCCAGTAAGCTACCTCCCCAGGACCCCCCAGCCCTGCTTGCCAAGTGACTGACTGACTAAATTCCCCGGGCTGGGCTTGAATTTGTAGTCCTCTTGCCTCAGCCTCCCAGAGTGCTGGGATCACAGGTACTTAGCTCTATGCCTGGCTTGATACTGTGTTCTACAGCAGCCCAATGCCACACTTTCCATGTGGGGACCCTTCTGTGCATCCCCAGAAGTAGGCAGTGCCGGAATCACATTGAGGAAGGCACATAGAACCCAGGATCAGCACAAAGCTGGGCTCTGGCCAGGCACCTTGCTCCTGAAGGCTTGGGAATGAGCTCAGCCTCGTAGCGAAGCCACCAGCTGAGCTCTGCAATCCAGAGTCACCACTCCTGCAGCTGCTGCTGGTCAGCACACAGTGGCAACCACCAATTTTGTGGCCCTGTCAGGAAAATACATTCTCTTTAAAACTCCTGCATGCTCTAAAACTAAATGCTAGAATTTTCCCTGGAGTGAAGTATATAAATCAGTTTCTTAACCCATTTCTTAACGGTGACAGTGTAACCTAGGAACTGCTGAATGCAGCAGAGTTCTGGTAAGTGCTGGCCCTCCGCCTCCATCTTGCAGCAAAGGCTGGAGAGACAGCTAAGAGGCAGGCCTGCTGAGGCACTCGGGCTGCACAACCCTGATCTGTGCAAACCTGGGACTTCTGTGTTCTGCCAGCTCGGTTTTTGGGAATAGGTTCACAGTGTTAGAAACCAAGATCTTTACTAGTACCCTTGCTTAAAAAGGGGTGAGTGCTGTGGGTGCAGGTCCAGTAGAGTCTGTCTGCATGAGGCCCCAGCTTCTGTCCTTGGCACAGCCTTTGTGCGCCTCCCCACAAAACCCCTGGAGCTGTTCAGAGTTAAAAATGATGATCTGCACTGCAGTGTCTCAGCCTGCCAGGGTGTGCCCCAGGTCTAGGTCAAGTCACACCCACAGGCAACTGCAGAAGCCAGATGGGAGTGGTGGGTGTCAGGGCCGGAAGTACAAACTAGGTCTCCACAGGAAATGCAAATCAAGGAACTCCCCAAATCCAAGGACTCTCATTTATGTAACAATTACCTAAGTAAGTCTCAACATCTCCTAATCCTACTCCTAAGCCTTTTCCTTGGAAGAAACAAAAGTGGGTTTGTATTTAACTGGCCTGTTAAGACTATAAAACTGGCTCTGGGGTTGGGAGAAACAGAGGGAGACCGGGCTGGCCCCTGCTCTCCAAGCACTCTTTCTGTGGCCCAATGTGGCCTCAGTCTCTGCGCTCTGCAGAATGGAGATGAGACGCAGCTCAGGCAGCCTTACAAGAAGACATCAAGGCAGTGGACTCGGGCTCAACCGGGCCCACGCGTGCTGAGTGCCCACGGTAATGCTGTGTATGCTGAAAGTTTCACACACAGGGCAGATGTGAGGGGGTAAGATAAGTCTCTCAGGAGGGGCTGCACACCTCTCCAGTTCCCCCAAACCCAGTGAGCGCCCCACTCTGTGCACTAGCTGCTGCCTGAATTACCGGATCCCCGCCCAGCACACAGGCACACATGCGTGTGCACACGAGCGCCCTGCTTTCTAACAGAAAACAATGCTGCTCCTGCAGGCTTTCTAGTTTCCTGGGAAATTTTACTTTCAGTTCCTTATAGCAGCTTTTTCCTCCCTTAGGCGATTTGGTGATGTTGGTTAACTCCCTTTCGCCCTGGGGTAAGGGACCTCCCTGAGGTGTTGCTCTGGCGGCCAGTCCAGGACACACCCTCCCGTTGGGCCTGGTGGATGGTGCTGATTCCGAGGTTCTGACCCAGTGAAGGGCCCCAGCTCCGCCCACTGTCACCAGGGTATTTAGCTCACACTTTAAGACTGGGATCATCACAGGGCTGTTGCTGTAGCTAAACAAATCAGGGGGACCGACTGCCCATGCCTGGCACACAGCAGCTCAGGGTCCCAGCAGGTGGCACTCAGACACCTGTGTTCCCTGTTGGTCCCCTTCTCCCAGGTGTATCCCTAAGTCACCTTGGAACAAATTACGTCTAGAAAGGAAGAACTTCCCCCGATTCAGTACACCTCAGTTATGGAACATAACTGAATAGGTTTTCCTAATCCTGCCCTGGCCCTTTTCCTTGGGTTAGACAGATCAGTAGGAGTAACTCAAACGCAGGATACCAGGCACTGTTTGGACCCACATCTACATTTTCACCAGGTCACCAGCTGACTGGTTTGCAGTAACCTCTGAAGAGCTGCGACAGGACCCAGGCACTGGCTTGGAACTGCTCTTAGCACCCTAGTGGTGCAAAGACCACAGAGAGAGGGAGGAGGGCAAGCGTGAGAGGAGGAATAAATAGCACTTGGGTGACTGAGCAGGGTTGCAAGTGTGACACAGGCCCAACACAGAACACTGCACAGCTCTGAAATGAAAGTTTTTATATCCTGATGTAGAATGATCTTCAGGGAAATGACTAAATGCAGGATGTGTTCAGTGTATGAACTGTGATGAGGAGAGAAAAAAAGGAAGAGAAGAGGGAGGCCGGGATGTAGCTCATGGCACAAGTGCCTGCCTGACAAGCTCAAGGGCGTGAGTTTGATCCCCGGTACGAAAAAGAAAAAGAGAGAGAGAGAGAAAGAAAAAGAGAGAAGCCCAACCAGTTGGTGCTTATACATAAAGAAACCAGCAGGGTTTGCAAGGCTTAGGCGTGGGGTCGTGGCATGGCAGGGAGTAGAGTCCAGAGGAGCTCCCAGTGAGCTGCTTTTTGGTGTCTTTCTAGGTTTGAACTCTGGCAGTTGTCTGTCCCCAAATCCAAACAGCCTCTGTAGTGTTTGTCCTTTCCTTCCACGTAGAGCCCAGTCCTCTACATGGGGCATTTGGAGCCACTGGGACCTTTGGGTGACCCTCCCCAGTGAGCGTGTCTTCATGAATGAGGTGGCACATAGCTCTCACACTCTCCTGTGTGGGCGGCCAGGGCCAGGAAGCCACTCACACAGACCAGGACCTGCCCAGGCCGCGCTGCCAAACCTTGAGGCTGCCAGAACTCGCTCTTTACAAGCATGCTATGATAAGGAAATTGATTGGAGCACCCACATGGACCATGACATTAATGAGAAGAAAAAGGAGACTTACAAATTACATATCCTTCGGAAATAGAACACACATGTTATAACTGAATCTTTTTTCCCCAGTACTGAAGATTGAACCCAGGGCTTTGTTCCTTTCTTCAGCTTTTCATTGTTTTTTCTTTTGGAGACAGGGTCTTGAAATGCAGTTCAGGCTGGCCTTGGGCTCGCTTTGTAGTCTATGCTGGTTTTGAACTTGCAACAATCCTCCTGCTTCAGCCTCATGAGTGCTGGGATTACAGGAGTGCGCCACCATGCCCGGCTCAATTTCTCATTCGTTATAGATGTACTTTTTTTTCTTTTTAGACAGGGGCTTACTGTGTAACCCAGGCTGGCCTCAGGATTAGTTGTGGTTATCCTATTTCAGCCTCTCGAGTGCTAAGAGATTACAGGTATCCACCACTACCTGCTGTAAGCTTTAGTTTTGAGGCCAGGTCTTGGTAAATCACTAAAGGCCTTGGCTGGGCTCCAATTTCTGATCCTCTTGCCTCAGCCTCCCAGAGTGCTGGGATATGGTATTCCCAGCCCTAAGAGATTTTGGTTGAGCTTATTCTAAATGAAATATGAGTGACCACCGCCCAAGAGCACAGATTGAGGAATGAGTTTTCCTGAGTTTTCCAGAGTGAAAGAAGTCACGAGGCTTTGCACAGGAAGAGGAAAGGGTGGGGAGTCAACACTTCGCGCATACACAGCAGGCAGTGGGCAGGGGCAGCGGGCAGCAGGCGGTGCCGTCTGAAAGGACAAGGTTCCGGGTGGTCCCCCGCTCAGCTCTGGGGTTGGAGGTGGCTGGAGTGCTGCCCGGTTTAACAATGTGCTCCTTTCTGGGAGCTTTGCCTAAGAGTCTCAAGAATCCTAGCAAGAGGCAAAGGTTGCAAGTGAAGGGCTCTTTATCTAAAGGTCTGGAATAGCCTGAGATAATCCCTGCTCAAACCCTGGCCAGCTGCACTCCAGCAGCAGTGACCATGTCCTCTACCGAGGTCCCAGCCGGCCAGGCCACCAGTGTGGACACAGGCAGTTTATCCAGAGAACCTCAGCTCCGCCGGGTGCTTAAGGAATGCATTGGTATGAAATACACCCATTTTCAGGGCCTGTGTTTTTCAGCCTGGCAGATGTGACCAGCATCACAACACTCACAGTCCAGACAGACTGTCTCCCCAGCCAAGGGTCATTGGCTCCTCCTGGCTGGTCCCCAGCCTCCCAGCTTCCCACCCCCACAGCCCTGATTTCTGTCCTTGTAGGTGAGATCTGATTTTCTACATTTTTTTTCTTTTTCTTCTGACAGAGAGAGAGAGTCTCACTATGCAGTGTAGGCTAGCCTTGAACTCACTATGTAGCCCAGGCTGGCTTGAACTCACAGCAATCCTCCTGCCTCAGCCTCCCGAGTGCTGAGACTGCAGATGTGCATTATCACACCTGGCTCCACTTTCCTATAGAAGGAGCCAGCTCGCCTTGGTCTTCTTTCAACATCACATTTCTGGGATCTGATTTGTGGGTACACATTACCGACAGGAGTCTCTTCACTTGGATAAATGCACCAGGATTTCTTTATCCTGTCACCTACTTATGGACAGGTTAGTTGTTTTGGCTCTGGGCACAGGTGCAGGACTCTGCCCCAACAGTCACGTACAAATCTGTACATGA